GTGTTGGAGCTGGAAAACCTCTAAAACATGCAGGATAGCGGCCCTCGAGGACTGGAGTTTGACACCCCTGATCTAATAGCATCAGCTCTACCAACTGAGCCACCGTGCCGCCCTCATGCACGTGTCTTTGTTTATAAATTATAGTCTGTTGGAAAAAAAGCAAAATGTCAATGCAAACGGCACCAAACATAAAAAAATAAAGTCCACTTTTGGTTCGGACCAAAGGACTTTCCTGGTGTGAATACACCCTTAAATTCCCACACTTTAAGATTGTGTAGTAACGTCTACACAGTTTGGCAAACATTAAACAATCAAGTCTAAGACATCAGTGACAGTTTAAGCGCAACCAGTGAACATGAGAGTTCTCTTGGTTGTAGAAGATGCAGTTTATTGTAGAGCAGTTGTTAAAAAWTTAAGTCCTGTCAATGCAAAAATGAGCAGTAGTTTGTTGGGAACAATTCTTTTTAGCTTATGTTTATTATGAAAAAATACTGTTAACATATGGAACAGAATWTAATTGTTACAATGCCATATATTGCACCCAGCCTCTTCCTGTTGAGTTTGTACTGAGGCAGAGAGAGTAAATTCGTTACAGCTTCCAACATTACATGACTCAGCCATGAGCGGAGAAATGTTTCTTACTCCTCCAATTTTTGTACCTTATGTTTCTTGCCTGGCTCGCGCTCTCCTCCGGCTTTATCCTTTTTGCTGGAAAAAGTGAACTTGACCTCTCCGTCCTCAAAGTCGTAGGGATCCACTTCAGGCTCGTGATCTCCATCGATTATAGCAGCAGACAGGTAATGGTTACTCCTGGCTCTATACATTTGAACACGCTCTTCAGACACCTTCAGTGGCCCTTTGGATGATGACATCAACCTGGAAAAAAAAAAAAGATGTCTCATACAAATACACTCACACAGGCTTATTTTGAGAGTGAAGCACTTAATGATAACAAAACCGTTAAAAAAAGCATTTTAATCTGTTAATGTTCTGGATTTCTGTTAATAAGAAAATGCATGAAAGTAACATTTCTACTGTAACTAATCTGTGTGGACAGATGGCACCTTCTAACATATGTCAGTGCTGCTGCCATGTTTATCTACACTAACACAAATGTCAGCGACTGCAAATGGTTCTGACAGCTGTCGTGAGGCAGAACTAATGCATCTTGTTTGCTGTCAGACAATTATATTTCTGTTAAGATTTTTTTAAAACCAGATGACTCAAGCAATACTTTTTCATATATTTACACAACTATCAACTGTTGCTGAGGCATCACTCTTTATAATCCCTTATGGAGCAATGACTGTGACATTCTTGCCAAATAGGGAGGGGATGGGGGGAGGGAATAAAAAGAGGTCATTTGGCAGGAGAACCAAAGAGACCATCTTATGTGTCATTCCTCCCCTTCCCTGCACCTCTCTCCACTCTCAACATGCTTTTCCAGGTCTGATGTGAGGTGGTGTGCAGTGGCCCAGGCAGAGATTAGCAGCCATTCAGARCCAGGGCTAGAAGGATTATAGCTCACTAGAAAAGGCTGGGCGTAGTGGCTGGCCCCTTTGGATTGCATAACCCCACAGATACAATAATCCTCCAACTCACTCACTCTGCATCCTGGTCACTCAGCTCTTCTTCATACTGAACAAACCACCCCGATTCTTTCCACCCTTGCTTCCCGCTAACACTTCTGTCCTAGTGAGTCTCTCCAGAGCAAGCCAAAGTGATATCCAGCAGACAGAAACTCTATCAGCTTCAACTTCATTAATTACCGAGGTTTATGTTTGTCTAAACCTATCATTACTCTTCCTCTCTCTGGGCTGCGGAGTGTGTTTGTGTGTAGGAATCAATGAGTAGTGTGGGACCAACACATTCGTAATGTATGATGTCAAAAGGGCACATAGCCAGAGATTAACATGCTGTGCAGCTGAGCACTACAGCCAACAGTCTAAAGCTGATGGATGGGAAGCAATGAGGAAAAGGGAACAGAGAACAAGGAGGAGAAGGTGAATTTAACACCATGACAGTTTTTAACACTAGTTCATCTGAACCCCTAACAGGACTTAAGGACCACAGTGTAACCAAAAGAATGATGGGATGGCCTAGATAGCTGGCTTCAAACTGAGTTTGGATGTGTAAATGACATTGAAAGGGTATTGACCTGTGAACTTTGGAGGATGACACTTACTCTGTGACTGAGACCAGGTCCTGTGCGATTGAGGCCTCGTCTCTCAGCTTGTCGCCMGGCAGAAGCGGTGTGGGCAGCTCGGCTTCTTTCCTGCGGGGCAGGTTGAATAACCTCCATGGTGTGTGGGAGCTGTCGTCATCCTGGTTTACTGCTGCACCCACATACACTGTGGGCTCGGGAGGCTCAGGGTAGGAAGAGGTCGCAGAATGAGAGTGAGGGTGGAAGTGCTGATTGAGACAATCGGGCCCTCCGGGCTCTTCGCTGCCACCTTTTACACCGACCAGGCAGTGCTCTGGTGGTAGCTGATAAAAGTGTTGGCCGTTGGGGGTTGAAGGGTTCTTTATGCCCTCCCCTGACTCCTCAGGTCGTTCACAGGGGTGGGGGCTAAGTGGTGGAGGTTGGGGGGAGTTGGGCTGCTCTGAAGGCCCAGTGCTGATTGCTCCACTGTGGAGCAGGTGGGCTTTGGAGATGGCGGCTACATCTGTCGAACGAAATCTTCCCCCATCCTGACCCCTAATGGCCAGCCGTTGGCCCACTGCTGCTTCAGTCTCGATGGAAGTTTCATCGCTGGTCAGGCTGCGATGATGGAAGGGGGTTTGGGGTCTCTTCTGCTGCTTTTCACCTTTCTCTGGCTTTTCTCCTCCAGTTTTGTGCTTGGTTGGAGGCTGGGAGGGCTGGCCTGCTGACTGAGTTTGGCCTGGAGTGCTGCCTATTCGTTGCTTTACTGATTTGTGTCTGCAGTGAAGAAGATGAGCAAGGAAGTAACATTGTGACAAGAGAAAGAGACAATGATAAAATGGGAAGATGCACAATTTTGATTTTTAATTGTCATCACGATAAAGCACATACCTGTAATTTTCACACCTGCAGCAAAGGCAGCCTACTGATTTACTAGTTATGTTGCAGAGTTAAACTAACTGGTAATTTATGATTGTTTTATATTCATCACACACATTAGCTTCAATGTGATCACCAGGGTCTGATGAGTATCTGCAGTACACACTAAACATTAAGTGCTTTTAGAGTTACAGTTTTCTTAAAACCTGCTGCCGATGTAAAAAAATAAAATAAAATAAAAATCATGCAAAACCAACAAGCACCTAGCATGGTGTTAAACTAAACCGGAGCAGTTCAAATATATAATCAAACAGAAGCCACGTGTTTTTAAGCAATGTTCTTCTGGCTTAAATGTTAAGTAACATAAAAGAGGGCATGATCAACACATGGGTGATGTCTGTTAAGATGATCGCAGCAGTTTAAACTAGTGTAAGTGATACATACAGTATATGTTACCAGAGTCAACTTAGATCGTCGTGGGTTTGTTTTTGTGGAAGGCACAGTAACAATATACAAAGGATTTACATAAAAGGCGACAGTCAGAGTAAATGTTAATTGTTCTTGATGACAAACAGTTGGATTTTAAATATTCTATGTAAACAGCAAGTCTCTTTTTTACACTACAAACATGACAAACTAGTATTATGATCACAGTGGATTATCAGAAGTCAAGCTAAATTATTGTTTTACTCTGAAACGATTCTTCTCAATGTGACAATAAGAAGTATGATCTACAGAAAGCCACAACCCATCAACCCACCATTGCCCTGTGGTTGTTCCTTACACAGAAAAATGATAAACTGAAAAATGTGAAGACAAATGCAAGTCAAAGTCTCTACCTGGCAGTTATTTTGCTGACTGTGACCTCCCTCTGCCAGTGTTTAAAGCTCTGCAGACTCTGTGCAGTTTCTCTCTTTTGTACATGTGGGACATCACCAGTCAAAGTGACTGACCTGGAACAGCTGCAGTAAGATGTCTGCGAAGGCACCACAAAATCCCAAGCTCCTAATTTTTCTGTCAGCTCCTCCTCACAGATACCATTGGTCGCAGTTGAAAACTTCCGCCTGGAGGGGAACAAAAAATAACAAAAACAAAAAAACATTATCTGGAAGCAAAATTCCAACCCCTTCCCTGTATGCCGGGAAGGCACAAAGAAACCCTCCAATTGTGTAATCTTGTCTATATTTTTGTGGTATACAGTTGCTTTTAGTAAAAGTTTTGTAGCATGGGTGGTTTCATCAACATCCTTGAAGCGATAATATTTTGGCTGACAAGCCAAAAGCTAACTATAGCTGACATTCTGGTTTTGATCAAAGGGTAACATCCCAGGGTGCTCCAAATGTGTCACATTCAGTGTTGTTGAATTATACAATAAACCACAGGACAAAACTGCACACTAAAGCTTTTTAATTATTTGTCAACATTGTTTTTYATTTAAGTTGAAGCACAATTTTAGACTGTATAATAAAACTTGAAAATACATTAAATGACTTTGGAGACTGCCCTTCAGTCCYAGTGTATTAGAATTAAAAAAAATTTGAAGATATTTTCCAAAGTGCCAAAGCAACCACTGCCTGAAATCCCAGCATTCATTAGTTTCAGTATGCTGGAATTTTGATAAATAAACTATATAAGAAGTGTAAAGAGATCAAGATTGAAAGAAATGTTAAAGCTGCTGCCAGGGGCTCATTACGGTCATCACAGTAACCACACACATGTGTCTCTCACTCCCTAACTTTCTTCTCATGAACCAAGTCAGACTAGAAAGTAAGCCTCAGACAAAAAGTTGCTGCGTAAATGTAAGTTAAATAAAAAATATAAATAAATTAAAAAATCACATCCTGGAAGTATTTGACAGAAAACATTAAGTCCATCGGCACTGAGAAGCACTCTGGGTGGAAGAAGACAAAATGTCAAGGTTTGATGAGTCAACGGTAAGAAGTGTTAAGTTTGTGAAAGTAAAAATTGTATAAAGTTTAGACAGCTAAAAATATGGTCTGTGACACTATGAGGTAAGCTTTACATGCTCTACATACAATGTAAAATAAATCATCTCAGTTAAAGAATACCCCAAATAAACTTTTTTTGCAGATGGACTGTCTAAATTGGGCCTTAAGGGTAATATCTTTATATTTCTGTGCAAATTGTGACTGTCATGATCTGTGTTCATTTTCCTTAGTTTTCTAGTGTTTCTGTGTATCTCTGCCCTGCTCCAGCCCCACCCATGCTCACCTGTTTCCTCTTGTGTCTCCTCCAGGTGTTTCTTGTTGTCCTTAATTAGTCTGCTTTTATATTCTGTGTCCTGTGCTCAGTCTGCATCCAATCATTGTACTGTAGTGTCTACCAGTCAGTGAGGTTGTCTTCCGTGGTCCTTGTGCCTGTTCCTCCTGAGATACTCTGTGTGAGTGTTTTGAGCTGCTTCATCAGCCTTTTTGTTTGATTAATAAAATCTTTTGTTGCTTTTGGATTTTTGCCTGTGCCCTGGGTCATTCTGCCTGCACAACCTTACATTTACATTTACATTTTCATGTAAATTTGTTTAATTCTGCAATAGTTGGTCTAAAAACCTATCAATAAAATATATATCTATATCTATAAAATCTATTAACAGTCAGTTACATGTGTATGTAAATTTCCTCACCTAGGAGATATTTCACTATAACATATCATCTTACTATTTTAAATAAAACTCTTGCTATTGTAAATAACTGGAAATTATCTTGGATTCTCATTTGACTTATGGGGAACAATCTGACATCTCAACTTCCTGGTTGGACTCATCACTGTACAGCTCTTTCTTTGTAAAATGCTTAAACTTTTCAAAATTATGTTTTGTGTAGTGGTATTAAATTATATTTTCAGATTTTTTATGGTGCCAATTATGGACCTCTTTTTGCTCTGATGCCCAAACCAAATCTTGGAATTGGTCTCTTAACTAGGTCTGTTACGAGTGGACAACTGACACTACCAGCCTTTAAAAACTGTTATGACAAGAGATAATTTTTCTACGTTTATACTAAAGCGTGGAATGACATTCCTCAACATATAAAGTCCATCTCAACACTGGGGCTTTTTAAGGAGTCTTTGCTTGTCATCTGCTGGACACCGCTTTTGTAATAATTTAATTGTCTACTGTGCAAATGCTGCCTTTTGATTGTAATTTGGTATGCCTGTATGTCTCTGTGTCTATAGTGTATAATAATGTGATAAATGAACCAGACAAAGTGGTAGGAAAAGAGATGCAACACATGGACGTCTGCCTTTAATCACAAAACAAACTGATTTAACTTACTTTAGCAATCCTCTTTGTGGTTTAATATTTTTTTTACTAACTACAAAGTTGCTGTGCTGCATTATGCTCAATTATACTGGTAAGGGTAATAAATCTCTTTGCTGATGTTTAATCATGCAAGCAGGGCGGTCGCTTACATATCTGTTTATTTATTTATTTCTGAGCCATGACACCAGATGTTTTTTTTAACGTCGGCTTGCCCAGTTCTGACACTACATCTGCTTCCGTGCTGGTGTGGTGTGGGACGGAGTCAAAGAGGGTCGAGACTAGGGCTGAACGATTTTGGAAAATAATCTAATTGTGATTTTTTTTTATCTATAAATTGTGATTGCAATTTAATATGCAATTATTTTTTTAATGTCTTCTCAAGTATTTTCCAACAAACAGAAGCAATGAATCAATCTGTTTTATCAGGGTTTATACAAGAATCCTAGAGTTGAATTTACTACCTATTTTTTACTACCTCTACAATATTTTTACTACAAACACAAAATCGAGCAGCAGCCTTTTTTAGGTGGAGCGGTGGATTCACAGCATTGACCCAATGGCCCATCTCTCAAAGACAAAACTTTATCCCACTTGAAGATTTAACTGTGACTTTGTCTTGACTAAGACCTCACACACATAAGAATTCCAGACGAATTTCAAGAAGACTTTGGTTTTTTTTTTTCAGAACATGAACAAAATGCAATGACAATAAAATTTCACAAGCCAATGTTTCATTCCCGATAGATTATCGATAACATGGAAAATCCTCAAACTAAATAATTAGCATAAAATCAAGCAAATTACGCAGCAATTTTAGGAAAAGTGGTAAAACTTTTTCTCTGTACAAAAACAGCATTCATCAGTTGATACCATTTAATATTACTGTCAGATTGAGAAAGAGTGMGAGAGAGCATGCTGTGGGGAGGGAGATGGCAAAGAAAAAGAGAGAGACAGTCCTGAGAGAAGACAGACAGCTGGAGAGAAGTAGAAAAGACAGAGAAACACTCCCTCTCACACAGACACACAGAGTGTGAAACAATACAATCAGAAAAAAATCTGAGAACCTTGTTATTCCTATAAAACTATGAGGAATAAAAGTTGTATAGAAACTCCAAAAACATTTGAAACATGGTGATGTTCTCCTGGAGATGATGAGGAGCAAAGCGTTAAACTGAGATTGAGCTTTGCTTTAATATGAGCAAAAAAAATTTGTCTGTTAGCCAATACATTGTTTAATTAGAAGAACACAAATAGTGAATCTAGACTCACAGCCTGCGCGCGCCATGGTCCGTCTCGACTCGGATCACGCTACTCGTGCAGGGCGCGCACACCCTCGCAAGCGATGCAGGTGTTTATACTTGGCGTTTACGTTGTTGTAGTATTCTTCAAAAGGACATGTGACAGAACAAATGTTGTAGGATAGGAGAGCAAAAGGCTTGACAAACAAACTGAATGTTGCGCATCGTGCGCAGCCTTTGCCCGAGGAGCTTCATCACACACGCAAATTTGGAAATTTGGAAATTTGGCTTGGAACGCACAAATATTTTAGAGCAAAGTATCAGGAAGCTCCTGAGTGAAGTGCAGGAGGAGAGGGGAAATTTACTCACTGACTGACCGCTCCTCCAGCCACTGCTCCTGCAGACTTTTCAGACCAGCCCTGCTCTGCTAACTGGATGTGCTCTGGGGCTCCTTTGACTTGTTGAAAGTACCATCCCGTTTAGGGATAGACGAGTAGCTTCAGTGAGACCGCAACAGAAAACAACCAGTTTTTTTTTTCTTTTTTTTTTTACAGATTACGGAAATCCGTCGCGGCAGAGAACTTTTAGACCTGCAGGTTGATCAAAAATTTACTACCAAGTAAAATTCTGTTTGTTACCTTTTACTACCTTTCACTGGCCTTAATTTGAGCCCTTTTAATTTACTACCTTTTACTACCCCGCAGCAACCCTGTTTACAACACAAAGTAAGATTTATTTAAAGCACAGATTACAATGAAGCAAACAAATCTGTGGCTTTACCTTTTTACTATTTCTAATTTTTCTTGTTTCATGAAACATATTAAACATGTTAAATGAACTTCCTAAAAGCTGTCTGAACTTCTTAAGACAATCAGTAAATACATACATACACACACACACACACACACACATATATATNATTTTATTTTTATTGTTTTTATTGTCCTGCAGGCTCTGATGGAAAATTAATTTGAAGCTGAGTATTTTTTTTAAAAAAATCGTTAGATTACTCTAAAGCAAAATGAGGGAAAATCTGTGTCAATTACAGACATTCTTTTCACATGAGCAGCTGTCAGTCAGCACCTGTCATCCTCCAGACACACGATGGAGCGTGTCTGAACCAATCACTTTTGTTGACACTGATCATCTGACTGATTTAAATACATCTTAACATTCATTAGGTACTTAACATTGACTGTTTATGGTTGAGTGTGGGCGTGTAGAGGGTAGAACCTGAGGCGGGACCTCGTGCGCAAACTCTGACGTGCGGCTGTGAAAGATGCGCAGAAACGTGCGTACGCACCGTACGCACCGTTTTATAAATCTGAATCTTTTTTTGGCGTACACCATTTCCGCCTTTTGGCCGTACGTTCACTTTTAGTATGGTTTCCACGCAATCCTTTATAAATGAGACCCCAGAACCATAAATGAACCTGAACAACTGGGCCATCAGTCTAACATTTATACAGCTGCTGAATTCAATCAGACTGTTAATAAAAATATTCCTGTTCAAACTGTTCAACAAGCTGATCATTTCAAACATATCTTAGACAACATGAGAGAATAATTAGCTGATGTATCCATGGATCTACCTTGCTGACAGAGCTGAACTATTTGTTACTAGTTTTCACAAACAAAGCCTTAATTAAACTATGCAGTATGCACACTACTTTTTATATGCAGAACAATGATACAATGTTTTTTTTTAACTCACCAGGTGAGGCTGTGCATTTAGAGAAGCTGCAATTAGCGGCAGCTTGAAGTCAGATTMTCTTAATTAATTCAATTTGAACGGTCCAGGTTTAGCTAACCTAAGCTGAAGAGTCAGGACATGTCCGCTCGCAGAGCCAGCTTCTCCAAGCCATTTTTTCCCCTCCCGGTTTTATTTTACATACGTAAATACGGTCGATCGGTCGGTCAGATATTTTTGTGGCTTGTTGGGGGAAATATGTAGCACATTTTTGCACATTTTGCTGCATCCACTTGSGGACCTTTCTGCATTTTTCCCCCCATTTTCTCGACAAACTTTGTCCAGTGCTTCCTCCTTTCCAACTCCGGACCGGCAGCAGCTTCTGGCAGGATTTATAACTTTGGTTGAAAAGGGAAGGGTCTTGCTGGGCCGGCCGAGGAGTGCTGAGAGATTTCATTGGCTTAGCTCAATGTCGATCATGAAAATCAACCAATAGGCCGTTGTGATCGACAAAAATAGTTTATAATTTTTTTGGGTTCATGACAGACCCGGGCCGGCCCATAAATGAGCGTCGGCCCACCGGGCATTGCCCGGTACACCAGATGGCCAGTCCAGCCCTGATCTGAGCTATGGGAGAAATGTTAAAGAGAAAAAAGTGAAGAAAAGCACTAAATATGTTTACAATTGCAATTCAACTTAATGAAATAAAAATAATTTTATGACTTCAATGCTTAGATCCACATTACATAAATTAAATTAGTGACAACCTAAAATTTAATCTGCAGACTGTTAGATGTCACGAGACAGAGGGGACGAGGTGAAGAAGTGACTGATCTGTGAGTCAAACACAGCTGGGTCCAGAGATTTATTTTAGAGAGACAGTACCAGAGGAAAAAAACATTACAGTAAATATTATATCCCGCTTTGTAAACCAGGTAGGGGCAGTGGCAGCTGTGCACATGTATGATTTATTTGCAGCAGTCTCCTCTCAGCTGACAGCAGCCAGGTGTGTGTGTGTGTGTGTGTGTGTGTGTGTGTGTGTGTGTGTGCGTCGCTGAAGGAGGCAGTGAGTCGGGCCATTTTAGGAATGGGGAGGGGCTCACCCTCACCGCTCGTTGATTGCAGAGGAAAGGAGAAGGAAAGGAGAAAAGTAAAAGTCTCCAAAAACACTGGGAAAAGTCACCAGATTTGTTGCTAGTGGTATATATATATTTTTTAGGGGTGGGGGCAGCTAGAGGGGTCTAAAAAGCCGCTAGATCCTTGTGACTGTCAATGTCGCTAATTGGTAACACTTCTCCGCTCGGCTCGCTCCCAAGTCACGTGACCAGTCAAAATCACAGCCKGTGCCGTTAGAAAATCTCATTTTAACATATCACAAGATTATCGCAAATGCGATTAATCATTCAGCCCTAGTTGAGACTGTGGCAAACAGCCTTGTGCAGCTTCTGAATGTTTAGAAGGGGAGTGACGCATCACTCMCAAACTGAGCTATCTTGTGAGTTTCAAATGAACCATTGAAACAGAAATGAGAAAATATTCTTCCTTTCTTTGGACCAAAGWAAAATTTTATAGTTTGTTGCCTGAACTTTGTGTTAGTTTGAAACAGCTAAATGTAAGTTTACAAGATTGTCATGAAACTTTACTTTTACAAAATACATTACATTCTTTAGAACATTTAGAAATGTTTTCATAAATGCTAGCTTGTCAGATTAAGCTAGCTAAAAAAATTTCAGCTAGCCGACCACATTTTATGATCTGCTTGAGCTCTGAATGATGTTCTAATGTGAAGGATATCTTGGCTATAGGGGCCTGAAAAGGGATGGGATTTCCCAAAACCCTCTTGTTGTCTAGGTGCTAATCTTTCACAGCTACTTACAATGTCCAGTTCTGAAAAATCATAGAACATTACTCAAGTCATTCTTTTTTGCAGGGGTTTCTCCAGAGCTGAAGGAAGAGTTGTGAATTAAAATTCATGATGGAAGTGGAAAAATCTCACAGGAATTGTAATAAGGGTACTTCAATGCTTATACACTGCTAACACATTGAACCTCCAAATAAACACAACATAGGCAGGATTTCTTTGTCGTACCAGTGTAATTATGAATATTATGAAATTAGCTTCCAGAAAAAGTGGTCTGTTTAATAAATCTCTAATTGTTTCATTTTATTTACACAAAAGTGATCAATAGTCATTCAAACAGGAAAGCATGAAGAACACTGCTCCAATTTACTACATCAATATCTAAAAACAAAAACTTATCAAACCAGTTGTTCCTGTTCAATAAGCCAACAATCATTTGAGATTTCTGCATCATGTGCAACACAAATKAGTAATAATGCTAATTTTAGCTGCTGGTTGTTCTATTTGTTTGCTTTCATACTTGATTTGCATAAAATAAGACCCTGACATCCAGTATCACTTTTGTGCAGATGTAAAGGTATTGTTGACTTCCAAAATAACTATAAACTTGCCCTTATTTATCCAGAAATACTTTGTGAGAATGWCAGTTTTTATCACGCAGTGCTCTGTGACAATCAGATACCTGCATAAAAAGGAGATTTTTTTTTTGGTGAACAAAAAAAGGGATTTCAACTGCTGAGACTGGATGAGGAAAAAGTCAGTAAAAGAGAAACAGTCAGTTGTACAGACATTTTGATATCTATCTTTTCATTCCTACAACAAAAATGTGYAAACAAAAAGTATGGGTTCTAGCACTTTCTGTATTTATAGTTTAGTGAAGCTATCTGTGCCACAAGATGGACTTACTTGTTCTGGGCTCGGTTGATATTGCACTCTTGCCAGACACGCTCCACCACCTGAGTGGCCAACCGGCGTGGAATCTTTCCCCCATGGTGAYTTGTTCTGTCCACGCTGAACGCGTCAGACAATGAAGGCATTTTAACCCACTTCTGGGCAGAGTGRCAGTCCACTAGAGAGAGGAAGAGCAAGATTTACAGGATGTTTGACAAAAAAATAAATAAATCTGATTCACTGGCCCATTGCCACAGAGAGGCTCAARTTGAAATGGTAGACTTCTGGATCTACACCCTGACTGAGCTATTACCTGTGTGCGCCTCCTCAGGTGACGTGGGAGGGGTGAGGGTCACCAAAGACATGGCAGGCTCTCGCTGAGAAGCAGGCACTTGGTGGCCACCCGAGTAGACGGCAGTGCAGTGGGAAGACCCCACAGGGGCCAAGACAGGGATATCTGTCTGAGGTACCAGGACCAGGCAGGCTGGGTAGATCATTCGCACACCACCTACAAAAGAACAAACACATTGGGTGATCGAAACCCAAAATGCAAAATAGAAAACATTCATTTCAGAAAACTAAAGATTTTTCTTTAAAAGAAAGATGTAAAAACTGACCAACAAGGACCTCTACAGAGGCCAAAGAGTCATCCTCCCAGTCCATGTCCTCAGCCTTTTCTTCGGCATCCTTGGCACGAGGGCTGATGGGATAAAACTGGTTCCACTCCTCAATCAGTTTCTGTGTGGGAGGATCTGATACCTTGAATGACTGGCCAGTCAGCATCCCATTTAGGCCAAATGGACTAAGGATTACTGGTCAGAAGAAAAGAGAAAAGAGAGAAAAAAGAAAACTTTAGAAAGCATCAACACATAGGTGTTTATTGTAAAACAGCAGTCTCTCAGAGCCTTTTAACACGTTTATTAAAAAATAACCATTTATTGGTAAAAACACAAGACTTACAGCATATCAGAGTCATACAGAGAACCAATCACACTGCTCACAGAATCCATCAGCCAATGCAGATTGTTCCATTAAACATAATGTACAGCGGGTAAAATAAGCATTGAACACGTCACCATTTTTCTCAGGAAATATATTACTAGAGGTGCTAATG